TAAGGCACGGCAAGATTTACGGACAATGCATATTGTGAAAAAAGTCGACAGTACTATAAAATTCACATTGAAGGTCGATTATAAAATAGATACACAAATCCCTTCGACCTTCTAGGACCTGCAAGACTTCTGGAAGGAATAAGGACGCTACCTATAGACTATAAATGTTAGTCGGAAGTACAGACGAAATCAATTGAATTCTATTGGAGCTATCGAACGAGTCGGACGAGCTGCAGCGTTTTTATATAAACACCGGATTGTATAATTGTATAAAATATAAATTGTAGAGATATATACGTATATTTCTTACGATATGTATAGTTGTCTTTTTATTCTTTACAATTAAATAAAACAGTTTTTTAGTTTTTTAAAAAACATTGCAACTAACTATCATTTTTTGTAGAAAATTACCAACCATTCATTTCTGTACATATCGTCGGAGAGACAGGGTCAGAGAAAGTTATTTTCGATTTTCTATCAGCCATCTGCGTGTAACATATATATGTAGGTAGTACGTACTTTTTTCCAAAGTTAGTTTAGTTTTTTCAAAATCTCAATTGTGTTACTCTATTGTAAATTTCGCCATTTCTTACGGTAATTTTGCCATTTCAATACGGTACGACATCGATAGGGACGTAACATTTCTTAACTTCACTGTAGAAAATCTAAACGACAAATAGAACTCACTCTTTCATATGTGAGTTGCTTTTTCTTCCAGGTAAAGATGTGCTGTATTCAACCATTAGATGTCTATATCTTCCGCACTTGGAAAAATTTTGCAAGAAAAACAAGATTTAACAATTAATTTATATATTAATTTTAACAATTAATTTATATATTAATTTCAACTTATCTGAAATAATACTATAAAATTACAATCACTAATTCACAATCAATCATCCCCAAGATATAAAGAAATGTTTAAATACGCGTGGTTTAATGTGGTTACATATGTATTAGGCCACAAACATTCGAAAATCCAGTGAAGTTTTGCTTCATGGACTTGCAATTAGAAATTACATACTGTTTTGATTGTGATAAAGTTGTCTCAAAATGTTCGTGGTGTAAAACACATTTGTGCTTCTATACTTGTTCTTATACCACTTCGAGGAGTATCACTACTGCGAAGATTACATTGAGTGATTGAACGTATCTATTTAAAACAAGCAGTAAGTACTGAACAATAAAATCAGCCTTTATTAGATCTAAAATACATTAACATTTAACACTTTAAAACATATTTATGAACAAAGAACAAGTCCTGCTTTGCACGTCCAGCGAGAAAGATTTGAAAATAATGAATTTTTTTATAATGAAAAAAATTAAGATTCTATTTTATCCGTAATTTGTGTTTAAATATATAGTATTCATAAATATTCAAAAAAATCTGTTAACATTTACGTGGAAAAACTTAACAAAAATACAGTATTTTTAATATGTTGTTTAAACCAAAGGTTCTTTTGCAAAATGATATACACCATTAAATTCGTCGTTAAAAAACACTAATTTCATCGATTTATACAAAAATCGATACCTTCAATGATTTCCGAGATATTTAACAAAATATGTTTCGCACCTTCAACTTTGAGGGCAGTTTTCACTCCTTCAACATCGACCATCGCCGATAAAAAATACGGATCGAATATTTTTTTGAAAACTACATTCATGTTTCATCAAATTTCATCAAAATCGGCAATTCCGACTTCGGTATGCTCCCTTGTTAGATTAAGACTTTTCCTTCCATTAATTTCGACTGTTTAATTTCGACAATTTTACTATTTCTTAAATTATGATTACAGAAATTAAACTTCTTTATGATGATAATTATTATGATTTTCAATAATCGTTTTTCTTTCCTTAATTTCTAAAGTTAGATTATTGTAAGCCTTGTTATTCCTGAAACGGAGATCCATTCTAAATGTGTAATTTTTTGGCAAAATTTTTTTATCTATTGTCTTCATAGATGATAGATGAGATTCTTTTTAAGAAAGAAATGTTGATATTAAATATATTTGAGCTATTTCCTAAGCAATATCGAGTCGATTATAGACCATTTATTGGCCCTTCTAAAGAGATTCTAAAGAGATTCTTTCATTTCAGATCAAAATTACCAGATAAGGTTTTTCCTATTCTTAAAATTTGATAAAATGTTCCTATTTTTGAAATTTAGTAAGATTTTCCTATTTTTAAAATACTTGATAATAATTAAACGTAGCAAGAAATTAAACTATTAACAAAAATCATGTATATTGGAAAGATCAGTTTCCGATTATTAAAATATAGTTATAAAATTTCTGTTCCAAATTTTTATATAATAGGATGTTATCTTAATTACAAGCAGTAGGCATAAAATTCAGAATCTTCTCTCTCCCTCTTTGATGTTTATCTTGCTTTTTCTCTCTACTATCTTTTTACGTGATTTATTTAAGATTATAACATAATCTACCTTTCGTAGAAATATTATTAGAATTAAAAACATTTATTTACAATTAAAAGCATTTGCTTACGAAAGCATTCGAATTAACACTCTTTATTCGATTTTGTTTTAAACATTTTAATTTTTTCATATAAATTTGCTACTGTCAACACTACTACGATCCATTATACGATTTAACTGAAGCTAGTCATGTACCTCTCTGACATTCATTTCTTATAAAGTTGAAGCAATTCTTGAGATACTATTTATTACTATTGCCACTTTATTCTATTGCTATATAATCATTGTAATTTATTGATTAAAATCGTTCAATATAGCTACTGTGACTTATTGTTAATTATATATAGATATACTCTTGCAATATGCAAGACGTTCTTATTTTTTGTCTTTGTGTTCTGTTTTTATGTTTTTAAAATGTATGTTATTATTTTAAAATTTACTTTATAATTGCCTTTAAATTGGATCAATTTGCGATTATTTCTTAAATAATAGTATTCTGCTTAAATAATAATCTACTTTGTATTAATTTGCAGTGTACTGAAAAATTGTTACAATGTATCGATACTAGGAATGTGCGGGTATCCGAAATTTCGGGTTCGGGTCGGGCTCGCACAAAGTCGGGCGGGCTCGGGCGGGTAGTCCGAAGATTTTGGGTAGCCAGACAATTTCGGGTAGCCCGACGATTTCGAATCGAGTTGGAAAAAGTTCGAGGGGGATAGGATCAGAGATGGGCATTATTCGAATAACATTTCGAATAAATTCTTCGAATAAAATTTCGAATAAATTATTCGATATTTACGAATAACGATTTTATTCGAACATAAAATTGGGCATTATTCGAATAACATTTAGAATAAATTCTTCGAATAAAATTTTATTCGTATAAAATTTCGAATAACATTTTGTTCGAAATATTTACTGAAATAATGTAAAGAAAAAGAATCAGGAGTCCTTTCTTCACAATGCCTTTAGTACAATTTTTTGTTCCAACATTTTGTTAGTTAATCTGTTTGCTTTAGGCGAGTTTGTTGTCGTTGCAAATGAAAACAAACGTTCTACTGGAGAAGATGGCGAAGGAGTGTTATATTTCAAAAATATATTTTTAATTATGAGATATGCGTTCAGAGACATGTAATCATTTCTATTATCTGTAAAAAATTGTAGTACAAGAATTTTTACGTTATCATTTGTTTGTAAATTTGAAGTAGATTTCGCTTTATTAAATGTTAAAAGCAAAGCAAATTTATTAAATAAACCAAAATTGAAAAAAATGTACTTCTAACTCTTTTTCTTTATATTATTTCAGTAAATATTTTGAATAAAATTTTATTCGAATAATGCCCAACTGTGTGTTCGAATAATTTTTCTTCGAATAAAATCGTTACTTGTAAGAAACGAATAATTTTTCCTCTAATAAGGAACGAATAATTTATATATATATATGTTTATTAAATATTATAAATAATTGATTTCGATAACGCAATATAATGCATATTATATCCCATTTGAACTTTTTCCAACTCGATCCGAAATAGACGGACTACCCAAAATAGTCGGGCTACCCCAAATCATCGGGTTACCCGAAATCTTTGGGCTACCCGAAATCTTTGGGCTACCCGAAATCATCGGGCTACCCCCCCGAGCCCGCCTGACTTTGTGTAAGCCTGACTACTGTAACCTGAACAGTCGGGTACCCGAAATTTCGCAAACCCTTAAACGATACATAATAAGTTTTAATTTAGTTTCTAATTTAATATAATTTCTCTATTCGAATTAAAAATATTAAATTTACACTCGCTAGTATACATGCTAATTGCATGTATCAAAGACTTTTATCTCTGACAACATACAATTTATCAAATACGAAATATTTTCATTTTTTCCTTATTAGTTGTACTATCGTATCAATTTGTTTTATTGATTATGTTGTGAAACATTTAAGATACGAGGTATTAAAAAAGTAAATATTATAACTTTTGAATCGGTGAAGATTCAAAAGAAACGTACTATAAAATTGATCTTGAACGTTGATCTTGCAATTCAAGATAAATTTTTTATTCAGCACAAAAACCAAACTTGTCAAAGGAATCATGAATTGAAACTTAACCTTTTGAAATACAATTCTAAAATTTTATTCTTATATTTATCACAAATCACAGTTATTACACATAAATATAAAATATTTATATTTTGCATTTAGATAATTAAATAGTTAAGCACAATGTTAAAATTATTTTATGATTTGAAATAACTCAAAAAATTTATGAGAAAATATTTCACATTTAAATTATTTTAGTAACCACCAATATTCTAATAAATAATAGTTTAGAGAATATCAATTTTTTTAATGTAAATATTTTTAAAAATACAATTGTAGAAATATTCTTATGTAATATTATATTTATATTTGTATTTGTTTAAAATGAGTCAAATGTTCAGTATCAAAAAACTGTTTCGAACGTGTAATAATTATACTTTTTAAATATCATTAACTTAAAAAGTTAATTATAATTATAAACTATACATGCGTTACAAATACTCAATCTATTATTATTTATTTCAGGATGAAGAGGAAGAAATCAAATTAGAAATAAATGTATTAAAAAGGGTGAGTATTTCTATGGTAGATTTTTACTTGTACACTAAGCAGAATTGAAAAGAATTAAATGAAATTATTTGCTTTTTATCGCTTTTTGCAGTATTCGAATCACAGAAATATAGCAACATATTATGGTGCCTTCGTGAAGAAGTCATCACCAGGAAAAGATGATCAGTTATGGTTGGTTATGGAATATTGCGGAGCTGGCTCCGTTACAGACCTTGTCAAGTCAACTAAAGGTCAGAGTTTAAAAGAGGAATGGATTGCTTATATATCACGGGAGATATTGAGAGGTCTTAGTTATCTTCACAGCAATAAGGTTATACATAGGGATATCAAAGGACAAAATGTTTTGTTAACTGATAATGCGGAAGTTAAACTTGGTACGTTTTACAATACTCTCTATTTTAATTAAAATGTAATATTTCGTTGATGTGAAATGAAGATAGAATGTCGTTTTTTAAAAATTTGATTTTTGCGCGCTAATATCACCCAATTTTTTTTCTTATCGTTAATTATAACTACATTAAAAGAAGAAAAAATTTAATATAAATCATGTATTTATTTATTGTTGAGAAAATTCATAATAAGAATATGAAACTATTGTGACATTATTGTGATTATAATCAAAATGTTTGCATGATTTTCTTTATATATGAATATAACTTCTTATTTTAGAGCTTCCTAATAATTTGAATTATTTGAAGAAAGTTAAAAATATTTTTCTTTTCACTTAAGTAATTCTTCCATTTATAAATTATTCTAAGGAAATTTATAAATAAAGAAATTATAACAATAATATATAATAATAATAATAACAACAACAACAATAATAATAATAATAATAATAAACCGGAATTGTAATTGCATTTAAAAACTGATATGAAAATTATTTTGATTAAATCTATGATATTTCGAAAAACTACGTGCAATTGAAAAGTTATATTATATAATGACAGTTAATGTACATCAAGCTAACACTTGGATAATATTTGAATTTGATATAATTAACAAAATCGTTTTAAAAATTAATTAATCGTTTATTCTATTATGTCGTAGTTGATTTTGGGGTTAGTGCACAATTAGATCGGACAATAGGTAGAAGAAATACATTTATTGGAACACCATATTGGATGGCACCAGAAGTAATAGCCTGTGATGAAAATCCTGATGCTACATATGATAATAGAAGTGATCTTTGGTCATTGGGAATTACCGCTTTAGAAATGGCTGAATCACAACCTCCACTTTGTGACCTTCATCCGATGCGGGTGGGTATTTGAAATAGATATGAATATGAATCTACTTCATTAATTGCTAGTCTGTTTTAAAAGGGTGAAATTTAATTTTACTGATTATTTTTAATTCACACAAAAGGCTTTATTTCTGATCCCACGTAATCCGCCACCAAGACTCAAATCGAAAAAATGGGCGAAGAAATTCCACGGTTTTATTGAAACGGTTTTAGTAAAAGATTATCATCAACGGCCGTATACAGAGCAACTCCTTAAACATCCGTTTATTCGGGACCAACCAACCGAAAGACAAGTTAGGATACAACTTAAAGATCATATTGATCGCTGTAAGAAGCGTAAACAGGAGAAAGGTATGAAAGCTCGAAAAATAAGCAATTCGTGTACCGAATCTTTGTTAGCCATTCTACATTATCTGTATTTTGTCATGTAGAAAGAGACGATTACCGATATAGTGGTAGTGAGAATGAAGAAGATGAGCCAGCATTAGCTGGTGAAGCGTCATCCATTGTTCAAGCACCTGGTGGTGATACTTTGCGTAGAAACTTTCAACAAATTCAGGAAGGTAGAACTTTAACTCAAGAAGTAAATCCACAACCATCCGCTGCTAAAGAGAAACCAAGTAACAGAGCTCAAAGAGATATACCAGAACCAGGACCACCTGCACGTCCTGCTATACCACATAGATTAATCGGTAGGTTTGATAGTGTATCACTAATTGTCGTTTGTGTTTTTTTAAATTTTGTATGCAAAGTCACAAGTAAGTTGTCTTAAATATTACGTAATTATTTTTGAAATGTATAGTAGTTCCAGATCCACAACCGCCATCTCGGCCATTACCTCCAACACCTAGAGATGATCCACGACAACCTCATAAAGTTTCGACACCGCCATCTAATCATCAACCTCTTATTGGTGGAAGTGGTAGTGGCGGTTCTGGTGGTCAAGCTGCATCGCAAAGAAACAGTCATGTATTTAAACCTATGGTAAGTCGTTTAAATTTTTTTGTATTTGTAATTATTTCTTCTTGTATCTTATAACTTCTCTTTCGATATTTCATACTCTATGTCAATAAAAACTAATATATAAACTGAGTCATTTAACATTAGTATCTAATATATTTCTTGTTAGATTTAGTGATACAGAAACATATCTAAAGAAAAAATATTTATTTTAAAAGAACAAATATTAACAATATTATAAAAGGCAAAGATACTTTTTCTCGCGATTATGTATTTTAAAATTTATAGTATTTTGTTTAAATAAGATGGTATTAAAATATTATATATTATTATAACTACAATAGAAAAAAGATAAATTTATTTGTTTATGATATTTTAATTATTAGATGATCTTCTTGGTAATTCGTATAAACTGATGTGTTTAAAATAATATATATAAATGTATATATAGCAGGGAGAAAGTTGTATATAGAAAAATTATATCAGTAAAATATTATATAAGAAATAATTCAAGCATATATACAGTATTTATAGTACATTTATTATAACCACGTGTCAACGACGAAAATATAATTGTTCAAGCGTATAATTGTTACTGTATGTTTGTTATTTTTGATTATAATATTTCCATTTTGGTATTCTATATTATTTAATATTATTATTTCTATACTCGGTTTTTATATTTGTAAATTATCATATTTCTATAGTTCTGTAATTATCGTTCGCACTTAATTTAGTTTTTTCGGTTTTTATCCTGTAGTTCGTAGTACAAAAATTTAAAAAAATTCTTTTTAAGATTTCTTATTATCCCACTTTTTAAAATTGTAATATATAGTAAAAAAATGATGTCTATGAAATTTCACAGTGATCAAACAGTAATTCGTGTCGTATTTGAAATTTTGAAATTTTGAAAATTTTTAACATTAATTTCTAATATAATTACACATATTTTCTTATTTTGAAGTACTAATAAATATTCTTTAATGGTATTACAATTTCTTAGGCCTTTTAATAATATATCAATAATTTTTGAGTTTTATTATTGAACTTACATAAACATAATGTACACATAATGTAGATTTACATAATATAGACTTACATAAACATAATGTAGAGTTAAAAACTAAAATTTTTTTGTATATAATAAATTTATAATAATCATTAACGAAAATTACAACTATGTATTACAACTATTTGTATATTTATGATCATAATACTATTAAATTTATTTAATGCATCTTTCTTCTATTCATAATTTCATTATATTATTTGTGCTTCTACAAAATATACTTTTTTTGCATGCTTGGTTAATAAGTTGTAGTTACTTATTAATTTTATCTTCCGCACAATTATATTATTTACTATTTTTTATTATTCTTTCAGTTCCGAAATCTCTAATTCTGCCGTAGTGTTTTCTTCTTCTCTTTCTCTCCCTTTTCCTCTCTTCTTCCATCTTTGTCTCTCTCTCTCCCTTCACTCCACTCTCTTCTTTCTTCTTTCTTCTCTCCAGGCAATCGTCTCCTGCCTCATTTCTTCTTTCCATTTTTTCAGTTCTTATATTTTTCCAGCAATCCATGTAGGACTCTCTCCATATCTCCTACTTTCTTGCTCCTCGTCTCGCTCCTGTTTCATTAGTGCTTTCGCCAGATGCCGCCCCTATACCGCGTTCGGGCCTCGACACGTATTTTTCCAGCTCTCTTGCCTCTCTCTTGCTTTCAGCTTAGTCCTTGCTGTCCTTGTTTATATCTTTCCTTCGTCTAACTTCCACAAACCTTCTTCTTATCCAATTATTTCCTATACTTCACCCGATTCTCCTCGTTTTTCACTCTCTGCTTTGACTTTGCTTCTCACTTGATACTCTCACCTACTTTTTCGTTGCTTGCACATAAATTTTCTTATCCGTGCCGTCACTTTATATTTCTCTCGCAAACGCGTCCTCATCCTTCTGTTCCGAAACCGGAAGTCTTATTTTCTATTATTACTGGATCTGTTTTATACAATTTATTATTTTTCGAAATTCATATCAAAGTTATGAGCAATTTAATTTTGATCTAAAAATCTTTACAAAATTTTGCGTCAGTATTTGTGACTTCATATTAGTGATGTCCATTACTGCATTGGTAACTATTTCGTAGACTATTTGTCTAGTAAGGATTGATAACGAAAAATATCAAAACCATATACACTTAGGCACATTTACACACGTTCTTGTATAGCCTTATAAAAAAAAGAATCTTTTAATGTTTTCTATTTAAAACTAAAATATATTTTGACGTATTTGCACCCTTTTCGCGCTCCTCTCAAAATTTCATGCCGATCAAGAACTCATTCTTTTCAACACTGCAGTTTCGAAATTTTCTTGTTTTTGTTAATAATTGAAGCGTAACTTCTTCAATTTCTCAAAAATGCGGTAAATGAATATAACAATAACAAAATAATATTTTATCGTAGTAAAGATATAAAAAAATAATTTATTACAATTGATCACAGTATTTCTAATTTATAAACTACGTTGTTAATATAATTAATAATGTTTGTTTATGCATATTAAGTAGCACATTGTTTTTGTCATGTGTTTAAAATTACCAAGTAATTATGTCTAAAATTTTATACACATCGTTTGAAATCTGTATGCTATTATTTAACAAAAGTTCAGTAAAATCAAAGTCAAATAGTTAATATTCTGTTTTTGTAATATTAATTGAGTTTATCATGCACAACATAATGTGAAAATTGAGTAAATAATTTTTCAGTACTCATTTAGGTGCTTTAGTGACTCACAAATCTGTAGCTACAGTAAATCTCATGTATGTATCAGTGAATTATTTCTTAATCATATTATTGATATGATTTAAAGACATATTTCTTACTCTTTCTCCTATAAATACCGTAGTGTTTTAAGTACTTATATTTTCTGGTCATATTCGAATGTTTTCGTATGCCTTTATACGTGTTTACTGAATTTTGTTATATTAGAGCATAAGACTATGATCATGTTAAAAAGAAAATAATATTTTTGTTCTTTTATAATAAATATTTTTTCTTTAAATATTTTTTGGTATTGTTAGAACTAATGAAAACATGTCAAATTCTAATGTTAGATGAATCAGTTTATATATGTTATATATAAATAGGTAGTCTACAAACTACTCTAATTTATAAAAACTGTAGAAAAGTACATGCTACTTTTATTCTACTTTGCCTTCTTGCTGCCTTTCATTAACTTAATGTATTTTGTGTATAATATATTTTTTTACATATAGTAAAAATTTGTACAATTTAAATGGAAACAATTAAATATTTTGAAGAATTTGGAAAGTATAAAAAAGTATTTCAGACAAAAGTTGTAAGATATTAGATATTTATTTGATTTTGTCTCTTTGTCAAAAAATCATAATTAAATTTTCAAATGAAACCAACTTATTATTAGTGCATATTTTCGAAATTTAACCTTCAAAGATGATGTACTGATTCAGTATTAGATTACTGATTTATGTGTCAACATAATCAATCACATTTTTCTGAACATAATTTTCGTTATGTTTACAAAAATGTGAACATATGTAACATATGAAAGTTAGATGGATAATTGTTCTATTTACTGAATATTATAATGAATGCAATATTTTGGATATTCTATATAATTTGGAATATAATCTGTAGATTTTTGGAATTCTAAATTTTTCTAAAATGCATAAATTTTTGTATTTTAATTATTTTAATATACGATGTCCTATAATATTATTGAAAAAAGGTATAATTTTTATAAAGAAAACAATTGCAAGTAAAGAATAAAATCTTTTTAAATTGGACTTTGTTTCAAGAAAATTGGTTCTGAGAACATACACATCTTAAAACAGTACCCTCCATACAATAAAAGTTCTATGATTAGACTTATATGCGTGGACATACATACATTGGTTGCAAAATTGAGTCAATAACAAAAATTTTTAAGAAAAATATTTTTTATTATTAAATAAAGTATAAAAACATGAAAATAAACTTGACTATCTGATTCTTTATAGTTCTAGGAAACTGAAGCTATTTTTTAACTTTTAAGATTAGATTTCTTCTTGGTTGAAAAAATTAAAAAATATAAAATCAATTTTGCACCAGAATTTTTTCATAGTCAGATTTACAAGCTTTATCATATCTTAATATTTTGTTCATAAGCCATTTGCTTAGATAGCTCTAATACGTCTTGGCACACTTTCAAACAGTCTTGAGCAGAAATTAGGTGGCATTTGATTCCACTGTTCTATAACATGAGCATATAGTTTCAGTACTGAGCTAGGAGGAGAGAAATGCGTCTAGAATTTTTATTTCAATATACTCTATAGATTCTCGATGTGGTTTAAATTGGGGTTTCGTGTAGGCCAATCTAAGATCGGAAATGCCTGAGTAGTCAGCTAATTAGTTACGCTGTATGTTTCGGGTCCGGATCATGTTGAAAAACGATTTCTTTTACAGCGAAGAGCATATCTTGCATATAATTTGGTAAATATTCTTTTAAAATGTCTTTATACATATATTGATTCATAATCCCTTCAATTTTGTGCAATGGGTCAACACCATCTGCCGTCATACACCCCTACAACATATGTATGCATATATACGTATATAAATTTTAAAAGAGACATTTTAAAAGAACATTTGCTAAATTGTATGCAAGATATGCCCTTCGCTGTAGAAGAAATCCGGACCCGAAACATACAGCGAAAAGCGTAACTAATTAGCTGACTACTCAGGCATTTCCGATCATAGATTGGCCTGCACGAAGCTCCAACCTAAACCCCATCGAGAATCCATGGGGTATATTGAAAAAAAATTCTAGACGCATACAAATCTTAGTACTGGAACTACATGCTCGTGTTATAGAACAGTGGAATCAAATGCCACCTAATTTCTGTTCAAGACTGTTTGAAAGTGTGCAAAGACGTATTAGAGCTATTATCTAAGCAAAAGGCTTGTGGACAAAATATTAAAGTATGATAAAGCTTGTAAATCTGACTACGAAAAAATTCTGGTGCAAAATTGATCTATATGTTAAATTGATCTATAAGCAGATTTAAATCTCTTTGAATGTATAATGAACACTGAAATATGTTGAGCATAATGTGAAATATGTTGTTATTAAGCATAAGAGTTAAAAATTTACACTAATCAATTCATTACATAGTATTTGCTATTACTTAGCAGAGTCGTGTTTTATTCGATAGTACATACATATTATTTTATACTTTAAAAGATATCAACTATAAAATTTTATTGATTTTTTAAAAAATTAATAATTTGAAAATGGTTTTTGTCAAAAATATAGATGATTAATGTTTTGAAAATATTTTATTCTAAGGTACAAAATATGTAATAAAAAATACAGACTTTCTTTTGAACATTCATTTATAATTTTCCTAAAATTTCTATAATTCTTGTCTAAAATATTTTTCTATATTTTCCATATTTTTTGAAATATTTAATCATTTTTATTTAGATCAAATTACATTATATGTCTATATATCCTTCTTTTGCTGAAGTCTCATAAAATAATAAATATATCATCAGTAGCACGTAGAGTTTCGTTCTATTTTGCTATTAAGTTATTGGCGTGCACGCGAATATGATTGCACAATTATTTTCTAGAGCGCGTACATTGCATTTGTAAACGCGACACGCGCGCGCGCACACACACAGATACACGTACACAGAAATACTCCTACACACATATGCGCGCGCATCTTACACGCAGATTTGAAATTATTCGGTTTTTGTTTTTTTCCATGTTCACACGTACCGTAGCTGCCTCCAAGGAAACCAGAGGTAAGAACACGTACACTTATTTTTCTCTTTACATTTCCATTTTTACATTTATACATACAGTTACATCTGTTTTTATCTACGCGTAACATTTTTAGTCATTTATACATGCGATTTATAAAACAGGTCACACGCGCTATGATGTAGTGTTTTTAGTATTACTATATTATTTGCTTGGATTATTTTTATACAAAATTTTAACTGATTTCTAAATTTTATCTTTAGTAAATGTGTATTGTTTGCTGCCGTTGTGCTTAGTCTCCCATTAGTTAAAGACGATATAAATGTTTTTGAATGCTACGGATAAGTTCCTTGAATGTATGCTTTCATGGAGATCGACATATTGCTTAAATACATTAAATGCAGTTCATGGTTGTGTTTGTAATTGTTGGTATTCTAAAAAATATATTTCTAATATATAAAAAATCACATATAAGGTATTTTAATTGACATTGAAACTGTATATTTATTATTATGGAAATATATGAAAATAACAATTAATAATTACAATTAAGTTTATTTTATCGTGGTTGACATTCTTTTTTTTTAAGTATATATGTACGTACATATATGTTGTGTAATAATATTATGTTTCATCATATTTTAATATTATGTTTTCATAAAAAAGTAAATTTAAAAGTAATGTATTAATTTTTAAATGATCACACATGTTTTATTTTCACATGATGATTTAGCAATAATATATTGAAAGTATACGGTATTTATTCTATTTTTATGTTAGTTATCAGTAAAATATCACAAATTTGTCATTTTTGTCTGCGATTTTTAACATAATAGAAAAAATTTAATATTTTAAAATATTATTTAAAATTTTTTTTTAGAAATTTTTTTTATATAATGATAATAATTTCATATCAAGTATTTTTAGACCAAAAAATAGTTGAGAATTAATTAAAATGAAAATTTGAAAAATTTTTCTTCCAAAGAATTTTTTTGTCTTTTTTTTCAAAAATCGGTTTTTTCATCTTTTTTTCCCTTAAATGAATTGTTTTTTTTTTATATATTTCATGGTTTCAACTATAAAGAAATTTTCTGCAAAATAAAAAAACTACAAGACAATTTCAATTGATAATCTAATTTCATTTCTTAATATGTTATTAGTTTTTTTTATCCTTCATAAATATTGGATCCGTAACATATATTGATTAATATTTTCTCACTATAAGTGTTAAATCATTCAAGCATTAAATAATTTATGTTCATTAGTTGTAATAATATACTGTCTGTAAAATCAAATTTGTTTATTCAAGTTTGTGTATGAATAACAAAAAATATTTGAAAAAAATTCATGATATTTATATGGTTATGTAATATAAAATGTATCAAATCGTCTTTATTATGTTTATATAGATTCGTATAATAGATTTTATATTTTTCTTTATTATTTTTGTTTATTAAGATAAAAATATAAAATTAGAACATTTAAATATCTTGCTTGTGAGAAAATTATGACTCTGTTGCTGCAGTTGTTTTCAAGATTCTATTACAGAAAATACTGAAGAGGTATGATGTTTATTAATATTACAAAGTAATACTATTTATCATTATTTAGAAAAATAATTTTTTTTTTAAATCTTTGAAACCATAAAAGTGAAAAGAACATATATAGTTATTTGGATTATGCATAATCACAATCCTGATTGAAATAAATACATTTCACGAACATACCACGTTCATAGAATTCACAGATTGGATAATTATTGTATGAAGATAAGATTTTCTAGTAAAAAGAATATAAGCCTAATATTAGACAGCAATAGTGATGATTATATATGATTCAATCAGATAGTCGTAAATATATTATAGGCGTGATGAGATATTCTGTATTAAAGATATACATTATGGGCCTAATGATACATTTTGTCATTACATGTATTACCCCTTTTAAATGTATTACCCATGTATTACATTTAAACATAGGCAGAAATATATTCCCCACTTAAGAAGTTAAATATATGTATTAATTTCTATCGGTAATTTCTATTTTATATGTACTTAAGAATATGTAGTACATGTATATAAAATGCCTTCTGAAATGAATTTAGAACTTGGCATCGACATGAATGAAATGAAAAAGAAGTTGATCGCAGACTCACTTTCTTGTAATGAGTTGTTACAACTATTGTTGTTGATGATTAAGATATAAGCACGATGGAACAATTGTTGAGATTGAAATGTAAAAAGACTTTTTATATTTTTAATAACTATTATAAGTTTCAGAAGTAATAATAGATAAAATTTCACGTATGATAAATATATAAAGTTCGCCGAGTAATAACAAATAAATACTATTATATTTTTGTATTGATAATAATAAAAATAGTTATTTCTTTATTTTGTATCAGTACTTTGTACTATTTAACTTAATAGATATCGTTCTGTTCATTTTTTTGCTTATAAAAATATGTTTTACATACATATATATAGGGTGATCAATTAAAGTTATCAATTAAAGTGAGGCCACCTAAATATCTTTTCGAATTGTGATGATGCCTAATATGAATGTTTTCGAAAGGCTAATAATTGGTAAGAATTACCAAGAATTTTTTTTTCAAGGACTTTTCAAAGTCATTGAGGTTTTTTTGTATATAACTATATATGTATTTTTTCATTGTATCGTAAGTTTTTTTTTTTATTGTATCATAAGTATTTTTTATTGTATCGTATTATAGTTAAAAAACTACATTCAGATATGTAAAGAACATGGCCTTGAAAATTTAAGTTTTATGTATAAATTTACCTCTATCTTGGCTAAAACCCGACAATCGAAAGTCCAATAACAAATGTAAATAAAGGTGTTCACTATTTGTTACATCGTGATAATCTCTTCTAATAGCTTGAAATTCTGATCAGTGTATCGAAATTTGTTACTAATTCATAATGAAATATTCGACGCAAGGAAAGATCGATATGATATTTACTTGTGGTAAAAGTGACTATTATACGGATCTTTTCTTACGTTGAGTATTCCATTATGAATTACTGACAAATTTTGCTACACTGATCGAAATTTCAAGCTTTTTACTAGAAGAGATATCACGATGTAACAGATAGTAAACATCTTTATTTACATTTGTGACTTTTGATTGTCGCGTCTTGGCTTTAAGGTCTTTGATCCTGATTGGGGTAAATTTATAGGTAAAACTTAAATGTGTGCAAAGTGCAGTTGCACTTGTTTTGTAGGTTTATGATATTTGTTTTGTGATAGATTTTTAACGTATGATGTTTTTAACATAATAATGTTTATATTATGATATTTGTTTAAATTTTCTTGTTGTCACTGAAAATGCGATTTTATAATGAAGAATACGATGCCACATCTTGTACAAAATATAAAGTATACCAAAAAAATATTAATTTTATTGATATCATGCTCTATTAGTTTCATCAATTTATGAAAAAATATCGTAGAGTTCCACTTAAGTGTAACTGCATTGTATTTTTATAAAAACACAATGATAGAGTTTCTTGAGCAATGAAAAATTGTCTTTTACAATTTTTTTCAATTTTCAATAGGAATTTGGACGCAGTTTCATCAATGCACTTTTATAAAATATTGCACTATATAATAACAAAGCTTCTTAAACAGTGAAAAATTTTTCTTTACAATTTTTTTCTTAATAGGAACAGAGTCATAATCCAGCCTAGTTACTAGATTCATCCTATATGTACATAAATAATGTATATTCATTATATGCATATGCATCAATAATTTCATTGTGTGCCTTTTGTTAAAAAGAAATCTACCGTTCTATATACTATAAAGTCTCGTGTAATCGATCCAGCCTAAACATAATCGTCAGTTAACTTCAATGTTAATCATTCGTTTACAAAAGTATTGTTATAAAAATATGTGTTAATATGAATAACTAATATCAATTTCTCTTGAAACTTTTCGTTCATTAAAAATTTTAAATTATCTTGTCCATTTGGTGCATTTATAAAAGACAGTGGAAATTATTAGATAGTAGCAATTATAAGTAAACAAGTACTAATAATAAATAATTCAATAGTTGGTTTATATTATTAATTCAAATATAAAAAAGTTTTATTGAGATAAATATTTTTATACGTAATTGAATATAATTATTTGTACACAACGTAATTGAATATAGCGGATGATATATTGAGTGAATCATCTAAGACTAAAAGTTGAGATAATGATTAATTGATCAAAAAAATGTTTTAGGCAAAAGTTGAATAGTTTCGAAAGGTGCATTAATTGACGCGATTTTTTAATGTTTGATGCACAGAAGGTGTTTGAAAGTCAAGTTTGTTTTTTAAAATAAGATCGTATATTTTTTAATATCCTATTTTTTAATATTATTAAATTTAGCTTGTCATTCTCTATAAAAAAGTATTAAACCATTTATACCAGAAAATCATTAGTTCAGAAGATTTTATTTAAAATATTGCAGTGTGATATTTGTTCAAAGTCAAATTTCTTTTCGTAGTTTCATGCCCTTTAGATATTAGATGGTGTTTTGTTAGATTTGAATAGATTTGAATTCATTAGATCTTTTTTTGTGTGTTAAAAAATAAAGTCTATGTTGATGTACCAATGATGTGGAACATTTTTTAAGAATTAGATTACAAAAGTGTTTAGATGTGGTTGGCTATGACAATGGTCATCACTTTGAACACATTTTGTAATAACTGTTATGTAATAGCGAAATAAATCTTTACTTTATTTTAATTATAATAAATAATTAATATCCTGCTATTACTAACGATACTGTTATAGATAAATTCGATATTCTACGAGCATTATTCCGAATTATTTTAATTAAAGTATTTCTTAAACTAATAACATAAATGATTCAATATTTTTTTATAGAAAATAATGAGCTGAATCGAATAATATATTAAAAAATATTTCACTTAAAAAAATAAATTTGTCCTTTAAATTCCTTTTATGCATTAACATTAAAAAATAATAATTAATACTCTTCTTGAATTCACTTAACTTCTGTCTAAAATAT